CCGTTACTACAAAATGTGTAGACAAGTGAACATAAGTAAAGTGGCGCCACTGTATTAAGTCAAATTCCCAAACAACTTATTGTCAACATACTCTCGTTTCCTCTCTCTCTGTTCTTGTATGTCACTCAACTGTGTTTGTTGGATGAGCCTGTATAGTATAGCACGCACCTGAGATACACCACTGATTTAGCTACATTAGTAGGTTAAAGTACTTTTATTTCAGTGGTGGGAACATCGGGTATTTCGGCACTTAGACTTCCCGTCTTCAACCGCCAGTACTGGTGGTACTCTGCCATGAATACGGAAGCGGAAAGGACAACGCTCAAAGTACGTTTTTTTATTTTTACTTGATCAATATTGGGACAAATAAATGAAGACACTTGTTTTTAGATCAAATATTACATGTCAAAAATTTCAAACTACCTTGGTTGTTTATTTAACTGATCATTTCTATAAGCTAGGCTCACACTAATTCTGGTTATTTAAATTCGTTCCACATTAGGTAAGCTTGAAGTTGTTGTCCCGGTGTGGCAGGAATGGAAGTCCGTGGGGACTGTAGTCCGTTCCCCATTACTTTGTTCAGGTGACATTCGTCCCATACACTAACCCCCCATACTTCGACTTACACCCCAATTCCACACCGACTGCAAATTCCATAAATCCCAGGTTTCTTACTTTAAGTGCAATAAATTCTTTAAGCCCTTTTAAGAATGCGTGCTATTCTTGAGAGATCGTGATATTTGGGATGAAAGTTTTGAGCTGTTCAAAATTTTGGTCCCGACCTCGCGAATGCAAACATTCTTTGACAATTCTTAACAAATCCATGGTACATTCTTAGATATCGTAACTGATTCCCAGTATATTTTAGCCATTTCTATGTATTCTTACCTTAATTTGGATATCATGAAGCATCTGTATAACCACGATTTGACTTCGACTCTGTAAAACAAGGGCGAGGGGCTTTTTTTTACCTGTCTGGAGGAAGTATTCCTTGAAATTCCAAGAATAGTCAAAATAACATTTACAAGCGTTCCAGAATCACAAGCCCATTCGGCAGGTACTTGAGGCCCAGTCAAACTGGCGTTTAAGATGAATTTCGCATGAATTTTGCACAAACTTGGTTGGTAGGCCTATTCGCTTTACATCCGCCATATTCGTGATACATGCTTGTAGCATTCGACCAGCATCCACAGCATACAGGCACGCAATTATCCGCAGAGGCACTTTTTTCCGTTCCCAAGATTTTTGAAGCTGCCCCAAAATTTTGATAGCGGATGACATGCACAATACATCCGCAAAACATACGCAATACATGAGCAATAAGTATGCAATACGTGCTCTGTTTTCCGCTCCGCTCTTATCCGCAACTCACGGGTAAATTGTGGCTTGCTCGCGAGGAGAGCATGTATCGAGTATGGAAACCGTAGGTAGAGCGTCCCTATCGCGTGCGTCCATGTGGCGAACTAAATTAATATATTGCGAATATTACGATTTTTGTCAGGGTTTTTAAAAGCGTTTCATTTGCGTCTGATTTTCTTCTGATTTCCGAACGTCTGTAATGACATGCGCTTTTACTCGTGATACATATACAGTACATCATTAATATATTCGTAATTCATACTGTTCTTGTCAGGTCACTATTACGGAAAGTTTGTCTTTTTTCCTAAAACTACCATTCCTGTCACACTGGTCTTGTTTTGACTGATGTCACACCTGTGATGTCATCATACCTTGGTCCATAACTCTCTGGAGATTTTGTCATGGAGTGGTTTTATTTCAGACTGAGACATATAGCAAGAAGTCTGCTCTTACTGCTCTGAGAGTCCTGTGGAGTGGAGTCACCCGTCAGTGGAACAACGGCCAATGTGCCCGGTGGTACTTCACATTTAACGGCACAGAGTGCAGCAATCCGGGCACCATAGAAAGTATTAAATACACCTACTACTATGATGCAAGCTCTGTCAATTTGCACAGCCCATTTACAGGTATATTGGAACTATAACTTACCTTATACTTGTACACAATGAGAGAAAGGTCAAAATAACAAAAATGTTATATTCCTTTCAGCACTTTTTCCAGAGACGGGTGAATTTGGCTTGCTCATAGATCAGTCCCCCCCCCTCTCCTTTAACACACATAGACACAAACAAAGTTTTAATTCATTAACCATTCATTTCAGTACAAGGGACATGTGTGGGTCTTCCAGCTGGGAACGTCACTTTGAATTTTGCCGTGTCCCATTGTTCTTCATACAGTGGAGAGGACGCCTACACTGGCTGGGGAACTGCAAGCACCATGATGGCCGAAGAAATTTTCCTGGACACTTACTAAGATATTAGACCGTACCATGAAATACGTTGAACATCGGCACCCTTTGGTCTATGTGAACAAGTGTTATTGGTACTTTTTTTGTTTTCTTGTAATGTTGTGTATGACGCTGAAGCAGGTGTGGACCGGCAGTAGAATTAATGACCTAAGCGTTTTTGTTTGTTTTGTATTTCTGTTATTTTGAGGAAAAACGAAGAATAGCGAAGAGTAATTCCTTTTTATTTTAAGAATAAGTTGTCGAAATGGAGTATACGTCATTTCTCGATCATCATTCCTCAATAATTCATGATAACGCTTAACAGGTATATATAGACTTATTTGTTTCTTGTCTTTCTACACTAGCTCCCCATGGCCCGTCACCATGTATATATATATATATTGCAGTAACTACAGCTAACTGGATTAACATTAATCTGCATTGTGATCAAATGGTTCGAACTGAATATGGAAAAGTGCATTACCATGTTTCATGCGCAAAATGCATAATATTCGCTATTGAGTAATTTTTTCGAGTTAAACGCTGTGAACATTGACAATGGGATAGCTTGTTCCAAATTAATGATTTCGTTAGTTGTAATGTTTGTTTTTTGCAGACAATGCCAATCAGTTGTTAGGTGTGGACTGTAGGTACCTTCAACCTTTAAATTATCAAAGTACGATTGGTGACTTTGAAAAACCCAGTACTTTGGACATAGTGACAGCTTTCTGATAGGAATTGAAATACATTGTTCACTGTTGGAAATCTCTAAAACCAGAGTATTTCTCTTAGATTTAAATTTCTTCTCTTGATATGTCCCACAATTGCATTATTGAAACAGGAAATGTCACTGAATCTGAGCTAACCAGTTCCTTTGGCTTATTGTTTGTTTTTGTTGTGGTATCTAATAAACAATACGGCATTGTAGGAACTATATCTTCTACGTGCCTTTTTCAGCAAAGCCAATATTAATGATAGTTGCCTGACCTTGATACCTAGGCCAATTATTATCACGAGCAATAAGCCCGACAACCCTACTGAAATCCAAAACAGTATTTGAGATGAATAATCTGTAGGAAATATTTCGTCTGCTAGAATAGCATCTGCCATAGAAGAATAGATCTGCTCCTGACTTTTTGCTTCTTGAGCCATTTTTGTAAGCTCAAATGATCAATTGAATCTTTCTCAAGGAAATGGGAAAAATATGTTGAAATAATTGAAGAACATTCGATTTCGAACACAAGGGTTCACTAAATAAATCCAATTTTGGAAACTTGCGTTGGTAAATAAAAGGACTGCAGCAAACCTAAATTAGTAGCTTAGTTACCTCAGTGTTGTTTTGACAACTTCGTAGTCAGGGTGGGAGCTAAAAACCTTTTAAGTTCAAACTAAATAGCAAGGAATTTGAATGACACATAAATGACAGCCACTTACAGAGGTCGTCGTTTTAGGGCATTTTTGGGTAATGCCAGTTATGTTTTGACGGCACTGAACAAAGCAACTGAATTCCATATGAAATTTCTAAAATCAGTGCAAGAGTACAGTCTGGCTGAGTAACAGACAGTGGGATATTATAACTGCAAAGTTTAAAATGCATGGCTACCTTTGCAATGTCGTCAAATAAATTCGTCAAGAATAGCATAATGTTGCCAATCTTTTGTAATTGCAAAATACTTGGAAAGGTAGAAGATTTGAGATGCGTGATTTGTGGATTGATTAAGCGGAACTGGAAATGTAATTCCTTCGTACACTTTCAAAACATGTGGATTAGATGGTACGGGGACTTATACAAACCGTATGTGAATTGAGCATGATGGAAGTAATATCTCGGGTCAGAGTGAATTAACTTCATTGGGCTTGGCATCTTACGCAACTCGTCTTTAATTCTGGTAAGCGCCCTACTTTATTCCTCTGGTGGAACCAAAAATGTCCTTTTGTCAGCTGAATGCATGCTATTAATAAACATTGAAATGAAAATAATAATTGAGAATTCGCTATCTCTTTATGTGAAAATAATCTATTGACTCAATTCACGTTTCATTTTGGTCTGATGACATTCAACTGCAGATTCACTGCGGAGCAGTTCTATTTGATTGACGGAAGCCTAACATGGCCGCTGTTCCTCAGAGCTAGTAAAAATGACTCCAAGGTATATTTAATATTTACAAGCTAATTTTTACGTTGCTCTGACACTCAGGGTAATTTGGATATACACGTCTATATCTGCAGTTAAAATCGATAGCCAAAGCGGTTCACACCTTGACGGTTTTAGTTTTGAGCAGTCTTTGCCGTTTGAAGTGACGACTGTGGAGTTGCCCCGGGTACTGTATGATCATCCGAACAGTCTTGATAATTAGGGGTTCAAGAGGGAAAGAGCACAAAAGCAATGTATGAAATGGGTTAAGTAATAGCGGCAACGTGACTTCTGAAAAAAAAACTTTTCTTGCTGATTAACCCACCGAATCGGATTTGTTTTTGCAGCCTTGCACGCTACCGACTGCGCCGTTACTGACCCGCCCACCCTTACTCTTACTAATCATCAAACGCAATTTTTGATTTTAATAATGATAAAATGATCAAATTCCATCGAATTTGTTTTATTGACTTCATCTTATTAGTGTTTAATTTAACTTTTCAATCACATCCTTTCACTAAAATATCTACTTATTCGAGAACAATTTAACATTAATGCATATCTATTGAAAAAAAACTTTATCATATTTATAATGGGCGATACAGAGTATGTATTATAAAATTGGAATATAACAGAAAATTGAACTTTCTTACAACATCATGCAAACATAAAATAGTCATTGAATTTGAAATTCACATTGTTCATTCAATATCAAACAATAGCATCCAAGATAACGGGCATCCATTTTCTTATCCTAATTACAACTTACATGTTACAAAGTGTCTCCCTCTCAAACAGTTTGTGAGATGTTCCTCAATCCAAAACTTGACACATGCATTATTACTTAGACCCTAATTAATATTTCATCATGAAAATGGATCATAACTGTTCCAAGAAATACTATACAATATGTTAATATGCATCCATCTCCATATTGTGGTGTAGTCTTCCCTCAGTATACTCTTTTATCCATGTCTTTCACCCTGATGTGTTCACTGACTCACTTTCTGCCTTGGTCCATTATACTCCCCCCCCCCCCATCCCCAGTGTTCCACCCCTGGGTCCTACATGCCATTATATGCAGGCCCCTCTCCCCCCTGGGGGGTCACCCAGTTGATGTTTTGAGTGGGGTCCTTAATGTCACAAGTTTTACAGTGAATACAGTTTTGTGCGTTGATCTGTAGTCTCTTTCCTGACCCGTCTTCTGTCTCCACATATTCATATACTCCTAGAATATTATTAATGAAAAAAATTTTTGTTATTTACCAAAGCCTCTATCATTATCTTACATTTGCAAGGTGCAAATTTCTAAATATATCATCAAGAAGAAAAGGTGCTGAGTAGCATTTTAATTTAATTATTCGAATTCAAACAAATTTCTTTAATGTATACTTTTAAAGAGGTTTGTGGTCAATTTCTGGAGATAAGATTCCTATCTATTTACATTGTCTATAATTAATATGCAATGCAAATGAAAATGCAATGATTCTCCCTTTCTTTTTTTGAAATTATTTCTCTATTACTTTTGACCATTACTTAATGAAACCTCAACACCAAATTGCAGAAACAATATAAACTATCACCTACCAAATGGAAAATTAATCATTCTAAATTTCTTTCTTAAAATCTCTATTACATCTAACATCCTTTTAATAGGAACACAAATTGTTTTTAAAAATATCATGCTATCGTTTACCTGCAGGACAAAACCTCTGTTCTGGTCCGTCATATGTCGCCAGGTTAGTATTGACAGGTACGGAGTCGTCCATGAGAGTAAGATGAGCAGGCTGGTCGTGGTCGTGATTGGTTCCTGTTAGCGCCACTGAGCTGAGGAGGTCAAAACTGATCTCCCCATCAGGCTTGGGGTACTCAATCTCTTTGAACTCTTTAGCTGGTTTAAGTCGACTGTGGTCTGCACCTGTGAACATGATGGAGAAAATACATGCTAAAGAATCTTTTGTTCCATATCTACTTAAGTTTTACATGTCTGTTGCCAAACAAATTTTTGTAAGCAATAATTCAATTCAATTCAATTCTCACTACCAACAATTCAATTCTCACTACCACCAAATCAAGGACTCTTGAACATGACTCATACAAAACCAGTGGTCACAACCTCAAGTCAAGTGTTTTTCTCCAAAGAATCACAACCACAACATTCCTTTCCACATAAAACTGATGATTCCATCGCATTGCTAAACTTATGTGCATCTTTCATCTCTCTCACTCTCTCACACACACACACACCGTGTGAGAGTGTCCAAGGTTCCTTGCCTCTCAACAAATTACACACACACACACGCACACAAACACACACACACGCTGTGCATACCTCCATGTGAGAGTGTCCAGGGTTCCTTGCCTCTCAACAGTACACAGAATAGTCCAGTGTAGGCCATACCCCCATATAACCCCAGGGGTGAGTGGAAAGACGGGCGGACGTTCCTCACTGCATACAATTCTTTCCACACCCAACTGTCCCTAAGGCGCTGTTCATAAGCCAATGGTTCAAGTCCTATTTTCATTGTAATATAAAGCAATTAATTAAAAAACAATGAAATTAACTGCAATTCAACTGTACATGTTCAATTTACTAATTCATGCTTTTATAATTAAAGAAGTGCACCCTGGAATTAAAATGAGTTTCAAGCCTTGCCAACTTAAAAATGACAATATTATATATTAACATCTAAATATTTGCTTTGTTCAAAATCACATTCATTAATCAGACACAAACCATATAACCTACCCTTAAGATGTCTTGTAAAATAAGTTCACATCCACTCTATCTAACTTGGTTACTATCAAAATCACAACCTAAACTTCAATAACGAACCTACCATGAAAATACCAATATTACAATATGATTCAGAGAGTTCCCAATGAATTTTACACATTTATTACCTGCCGTCTCTGACTTGTGGTTCTCATCTGTAATCACGTCAAACACAGCCTCCCCCGCCATCCTTCCACTGGCCACGGCATTGTGGGAACCCTTGACCTTGGGGACGTTGATAAACCCAGCCGCGCAGCCCACTATACAACCACCTGGAAACGTCAGCCGTGGTACACTCTGGAATGAGTGACCATAGTCAGAGGAATTTATATCTTAATACAGGGGAAAGACCATGGTCAGAGAAATTTATATCTTAATACAGGGGGAAGAGCCCCCTCCCATTTGAGGATTTCTTCCTTTTTATTTACACAAATATTAAATTCTAAAGGAAAGGAAAGGAAAAATATTAATGAATATGGCATTTGTATACGCAATGATATGAAGGGGCACAATTATTTGTGCATATTTGACAACCCTGGAATATCTGTAAGAAGTTCAAAAATAATTCAGATATTTTTTTCAATTGTGAGAAATTTATATTTCAATAGTAAATTATCAACTAAAACCACAAAACCATAACCACACTTTACATGCATACTGCAACCTGAGTGTGAGTGTGTGTGAGCATGTGCGTGTCTGCGTGCAGATACAAGACTAGTGAATTTTACTCTTACCTGTATCCCACCCTCATTCAGAGCTCTAGCTCCATAGGCCAGCCTCTTGCCTCCTTTAAATATCTTCTCTATGTAAGGGTGATGCTTAAACCTCTGAAACTCCTTGAAAGGACTGATGTATGGATTTTCATAATCTAGAGCAACCTGAAAATATTAAATATATCAGACTTTGAACAAAATCAATCATGATCATAAAAACAGTGGCTTACTTCTTATCAACTGTATGCACTGTTTAAATCAGGCAATTCAACAAGCTCAATTGTCACTAAACAACTTTTTTATAGGTCCTTCACATCAAATTTGACTAACTTGAGCAGTAAAAGATTCACTGTAAATAATACTTGAAGTCTACCATAAATAAATAAATGATTAAAAGCAGTATAATCATGGGCAGCAAGTGGTGGTCTTACCACATATCCCACTGATACTAGTGGGGCGTCCTCTCCTAAGTGATATATAAAAGAACCTCCATAAGTATTACGGTCCTGGAAACAGGAACAGAGATTTAGTTCAGTTGAATGTCACATCTGAAAATACTTTGTGTTAGGTATTCTCATTAAACTGGTAAGCAGCAAAAGTTGTTTCTTAAAATAAAACAAAATCAAAACAATTTCAATGTAAGAAGCTTGAGACAACTGACGTGAAATTCATTGAAATTTCAATTATAAACTGACATATAATAAAATGCCGGTTCTAAAATGAGAACAACAGTAAATTCTATTAAACATATAAAAACATTACAAGTAATAAAAGATGAGATATAAGATGACATTACCAAAGGCCATCCTACGGTGTGTTCTACTCGCCCAGGATGATGCTGTTCTGGTGTCACTTCCCATAATTCCTTGAGACCAATGGCGTACGTCTGTGGTTCACAGTCCTTCCTGAGATCAAACTTATTAAACAGTTGTTTGGAAAGATGGCCGTGACAACCCTCAGCAAATATGGTGCATTTGGCCTGAAACTCCATGCCTCTTTCAAAAGATTCCTAAACAGAAAATATGTAAAACATATGCAAGATCAGAAAACAGACATCTACACTGTATTAAAAAATATATTGAAAGAGTTGAAAGAGTAGACATTATTATAAATTATACAGTTACTATGGACTACAGAGTAATATGGAGATGGACGTGTGTGTGTGTGTGTGTGTGTGTGTGTGTGTGTGTGTGTGTACCCTTTAACGTCAAAGAAAATAAAGGCAATAGCTGTGGTAAGTAGGCAAATATCCTATCATCTAATGTTCACTGCAATTTTAAGAATTTAAATTTCAATTACCTTAGGGGATCCATCCTTGTAAATCCCCACATCATTGGTTGCTATACCTCTAACACTACCATCCTCATTGAACAAAACCTGCAACAAGGTTATTATGCAGTGTTATATAAAGTTTTGGAGTGTTTTAATGTGAGGCTTTTAACTTGTATGGAGCATTGCTTTAATATGTCCCAATAATTGCCCCCTTTGCTTTTAATGTTGGAGTCAAACCTTACAGATTAAATCAAAGTAAACCCAATAGTAAATAGTCTAGATATGAACTAATCTACAAAGTAATAAGAATCTCTGGAGATGAAGGAGAAAATTCTTTGTAATGAAATACCTCAGAAGCAGCAAATCCAGGGTAGACCTCTACTCCTAACTCTTCTGCCTGCTCTCCTAGCCAGCGAACTACATTACCCAGTCTGACTATATAGTTACCATGGTTATCCATCGGCATCCCTGGATTGGACAGAACATGGCTACATAATATGAACTAACAAATGGATGTATGTGGATTCCTAATACATTTTATTTATTAGGCGTAATACATTTTTTAATTTTCGAGATTTCTAAAAACTAACATCTTTAAAATAAAATTATAATATTATTACAAATGTTAAGAAAAATAAAACAGATATTGGAAAGATTACAAATATATTTTTTTTCATATGAAAAGGAAGAAATGTATTAACCCTTGTAATTCTCAAGGATTATGAAATGAAAGCTTTTACTGTGAGTAATACACTAACCTCTAAATACAGGAATAGGTATCCTGGAAGATTTAGTCAAAAAAGAAAATTTGTCTTCTGTTACTGGGGTGTGGAAAGGAGCCTGTATAATGACACCAAAGATATAGATTAACACAATTCTACAACTAAGACCAAGTACAAATAACAATCAATTTTACAGTTTGTTTTTATTTTGTTGTTGTTTAGCATATGTATAGATACACATACTGTCATGGAGTTTTGGTATACCAACTTCATAAAAAGTTGTTTCTGTTACAAAATAACATACCAGTAATCAAATGGTGCTTTTTATTAAAGCAATAATAACTCTTCCTTTGAGATTCAAAATTCGCAAGAAATACATTCTAAACAACACACGGAAATATATTATATTGCATTTCACCACTAAAACGGCTGTTATTGTAGTAAAACTAAAAACTCTGCTTGTCAATAGGGCTTTCGGTGCCTTTTTTCCCGGTCATCAAGGCATTCGTTGCCAAGGATTTTGGCGCATCACGCGGATTCTCGCGTGCAGTCGAGACCAAAATAACAGAGGCGCATGACACAATCCTCAGACGTAAGTTGCTAGTTTTTGTACAGTGTGTCGGATAACAAAAAGCCCAGAACNTTATGACTTTAAGCTACTGCATAATTTGGAACAAAAACACACACATACACCCATACACACACACACCACTGTGACACCAGCATGACAAAAGTGGAAAACATTTTCTCTTTATTCAAATACACATACACAATTTAAATCATTTCTTACAAAAATTTAGCTAAGGGAATTTCTGGTATTATCAGCAATTGTTTTACTCAATGCCCAGCCATATGCAACATGCTGTACATAGTTTCAGTCATATTGAGCAGTTTGAGGGCACCTACCCCTCTTTCTTTCCAGTCAGGGAAGAGTTCTTCTATTGCCTTGGGCTCTATACATGCTCCTGAGAGGGTGTGGCCGCCTGGAATGACAGTTGACTACAACTTAGTTGTATGTTGGAGAAAATCTCATTCAGTCACTACATTCATAAACAGTAATATTCTGTCTAATTCAAAGTAGTTTATAAGAAGTAATTGTAAAACTGCTCTTCAACGAAAAAAATTTCGACAATATTCACATTTGACAACATCAAAAGTTAAGGTACAAGGACAAGGTTACTTAGGCAAATAACAAAGTTATTCAAGGATGCAAATCAAACTGAGAAAAAAATTCATTTTTGAAAGAGATGGATACAGTGTTTAGCACATTTCTAAGTAATTTGCCTGCTTGATTTCACTTAAATGCTGCTGGCCCCAGTCTTATCCTAGTCACAATGTCAAAGCATCTATATAATAAAACTGTCATCAGACATAAAAATATTCTATTGAGAATTATTATCATTATAATAACCCTCAGTCCCATACAAACTTAAAATATAAATACTACATAAAAATATGAATTAGTCTTTTATAAAACAGGTGCTTCACCTATTTCCGCAGCCTTTTCCAAAACACAAACTCTGATTTCTGTTCCTTTTTCATTGGCTAGCTGCTTTATTCGACAGGCTGCTGCGAGTCCTGCAGGTCCTCCTCCGACAATCACTACGTCAGCCTCGTCTGCAAACCTCTCCATAGAGATATCTGAAACACATCAAGGCAGCAAAGCTGTCAAATGTACAGATATCTGAAATGTGAACATGATACAAGATAAGTCAACAACAGTCATAATACAACATTTAATACCCGTCACCATTCTCTCTGTGTACATGTAGTTGTAAACACACTTCCCTAAGCAAAATGAAAAGTTTGCAGCAAGAAAAAAATATTGCTGCTACTTTTCAGCCATATTACAGCAAATTTGCAAGAAAAAAATGCAGTTAACCTGATATTTTGCTTATGGAGTGCCAATCTGCCCAGTGAACCCACCTTTCCATCTTGGGTCCGTTTCCCTAGGCACCACTGTGTAATGTGTGGTGATCTTTGGCAAAGCCTGCTCTGTGGAATACTGTCTGTGGAGATACCTTAATACTAAACAGAAAACACACATTAATTACATGGGAATTAAGTCATTTGATTATAAAAATGTAGGTTTTGTGGTGCTGGTGTGCAGTTAATAGTAAGTCTTCTAAGCACTGGCCCTAAAGGTGTGCACAGAAACCTCTACTGGTAAAATACTTTGGATATAATTAAACAGTTCTCCTTTGCTTCATACCTGTTATTTTATTTAGTTCAACTAATCTATTCATTAAAAATATTCACAAGTAAAAGCACCCAGCCCCTGCCCCCCCCCCCCCCTTCATTCCCACCCAGCAACAATGCTAGTTTATACAAGGACAGACTGGTCCCCACTAGTTACTACTGGTAATACAAGGTGCCCCCCAAACACATTCATAAACTAACTACTAATCTTTCTTATCTTAATGTCTACATAAAATAACTTTGCCCATTTACATATATATATTTTAGATTAAGTTTTGGAGGTTAAAATATTTTTCAAATATAAGTTATTTCATTTCACAAATGATAATCAGTATAAATGACCTCATTTGACCCGGCGTTTCTTAATTTGTTACAGTTAGCCGATATCAAGATAAGGAAAACAATGCTGATAGTAATAATAGGGCTCGTTTGTTAACTTGACCTAATTTCACTGGTTCGAACCTGCTATTCATCACGTCTTGACCAACATTACAAGCGATCACTCAGGTAGAACAGCCCTGTGTCTCAACAGTGAACGTCCCAAACTGACTCAAACGTCAACAAACTTCCAGGAGGAATGAACGGGATGGTAAATAAATTTTACATTTCGAATGACGCCTTCATTTACCTCATTTAGGCATCACATATAACCTCTCTGTGTGTTACACATTTGGCTGACTTTTAAGTCATCTTTTTTTTCGTTAAATTACCTCGAAATGTTGCACCCCTCTTCAACACCGCTGCCATCCTTTTTGGTAAATGTTACGTATTGGGGGAAATTAGGTCACATATTACGACATACCGAATAAATATTACCATCTTGAGTTGATTTGAAACCAAATAATGTACAACATTTTCCTCCTAAAGATGTCTGTATTTTAGTCAGTTCAATACAAACCATTACATTTGCAATTATACATAGTAAATAAAGTCGTTAAAAATTGCGTACCCATTGGTAGCGTCCAAAGGTCGAATTCGGAGCATGGCGGGTAGGTTTGAAGTCAGTAAACGGGATCCCAGATATATTGCTCATGGAACTATCATATCGGCTCGACGATACAGGACTAATCTTGAAGCAATTATAGACAAGGTGAGTCAGATCTGCTAACTTAGCTCATTTCTTCAAGCACCCGTACCATCTGATCTTTCTCGCTCTGGTCTCTCTTCGGCCTCTCTCTCTCTCTCATCGACGAAAATAACCTTGAGAAAACTCACTCGGATATATTTGTGCTATTTTAAGATATTTCTGATACATGAAAACAAGTATATGCCTTTCTTCATAAGTTCTGTGTGTTGTAGTGTTATTTTATATAAAAATTCATTTGACATTTTTGGAATAATAAAATGTTAAAACTTAAAAAGTTGATGATTTTAACAATGATATGTTAATTATCTATGTTAATTATAAATACTGATAGCATTTAAGAAAATGTAAAAGGTGTAGAAGATAGCTTTTTTATCGAGGACAGAGGACTACTGCAGGAAAGAAATTTTTCTGACCTGCATATATGCTAGTATGGCATATACTAGTATGGCTTCGTGTGTCCTTGCAGACATACGTACACAGCCTAAGTGGGAACCTCTCACATCTGTATTTTGCAGATAACTGCCAAATAAAATGAAACTTTATTTAAACTTATTTTCTAATTGAAGATCAAAATTATTTGAAGTTCAGTTGTTCAAACCAAAATTGAGAGATATGAATCTTGATGACTTAAAAATATATTTTTGATGATATTTTTTCAGTTTGAAACTATTTGCACAACTGCGCATTTGGCAAATGTAACATATAAATTATTTTCATGTTTCCCGTTTTCTATTTAAGATTTCTTGTTGCATATTTTATTATCATACAGTTCTTTTTTTCAGTATAATAAGCCTTTTCATAGAGATGATATCATTGATCTTGAAAGTTTTGTAATTGAAAATGAAGTTGGTAAGTAAGCATTCATATTTTCATGTTTAATTACACACACACACACACACACACACACACACACACACGTTGTTAAAGATCAGCATGAATTTTGTAATATAGAATACCCTGTAGGTGGAAAATTGAAGAAAAAACGTGTCTATGTAAAGAATACTGCTTTTTAACAAGCATAAGCAGAATAATTATGTTGTTTTTATGGTTTGATAATCAGGAAAGACTTGATAGCATATACAGTAGGTAGAAATTTAAATTTAAACATTAAACAGATGCCTGTCTATCATATATTATGATAATAATATAATTTGGCAACATTTACAGGGCGACTGAAAAAAATTAAAAAAGCCCAAGCTTTTGGACAAACACAGCTTGCTTCAGTGAAGGGCAGAGGTAAATATTTATTGTCATATTTACATAAACAAATGATCAATGCTCTTACTAGTATTTAAATTGTCTTCTCTACTTTTTATGTTAGAGTAATTTGCTACCAAATGGAGGAGATGCCTTTAATTATACATTAAAATTTAAGTGTATTTTTGATCAAATTTCTTAATGAGCTCTGTACTGATGTTATATGATTCAGATTGTGATAGAGTGTGAGTGATAAAGTGTCCATTGAAATAAACAAACAGGCCTTGAATATTAATTTATCAGAGTTTCTTTTTGTAGCAAAGCTGCCATTGGCATTTGATCCAAATGAATCAGGATTTGCCTCTGGCGAAAACAGCAAGGTAATTAGAATATTTCTTTATTTATATCATTATTTCTGTGTTGCCGTCCTTAGTTATTTCTAATTTCATACACTGGTAAGTATGAAATGTCCTGCATGCAATATATATGTGCACAGTGTGTGCTTACTTGTTTATGGACAATTATGGCTGAACAAGTAATCATGAGGAACTTTTAAGGGTGATCACATAAGTAAAAGTCAGTCTAGCAATAGGGAATATTTTGGTACCTTGATAATTGGTATTAGTGTTGCATCACATTGAAATAGCCCTTATTTTCTTTTTGTAATATATTTCTTTTTGTAATTGTACTGATTAAAAACCCACTCAAGAAATGTATTATATATAATTGAATCTCGGTTTTAAGCCCTAAAAAATGTGCAGTTTGTCTATGAAGTAAAGCAGAAGAGAAACCATTCTAAATTTCAGAGCAGTAGCAAGTTTAGTAGCTCAGTCTTTGATTCCTTGGATCAAGAGGAGTCTCTCATGAGATCGCATGATGAGAGCACAGTACGGGGAACAGCAGAGGAAGGTATGTATCACAAAGAAGTGCTTGAATTGTCCTTGTAGGCCATTATCTGAGACATGAGGTCTGTAACAAAAAGAAATACTTGTTTTATCCTAATAGACCATAATCTGAGACTACTAATCTGAAATGTGGGAGCCATTGTTTTATATTCAGTATGGTTGAAAAAGTATTTTGCCAAAGGCGTGAGAATATTCCTTCCTGAATACCATCCACAGTCACACTAGTGTTTAAAGAAACATCCTATATGTTTCAGATTATGGCCTGTAACATGTGTTAAATCTGGTATTTTATTGAAATTAGCCTCATCATGATTGCTAACATTTAACTTAACCTGCTTTGACAACTTTGAACTTTGAGCAGAGTTTTTATTCAATTGTTTATAAAATCCCTAACAGTTTAAAGCAATTTTTTACCATCATGGGAGAAATTTGATTTTTTTAAATACCAAATTCTTAGAAGTTTGAGTGGAGGGCAGACACACTGAAACTGTTGGTCCGATCGGTCATGACCGGGAAAATTTGTCTGGACCGGTAGAAAATTGGACTTGGTTGTTCCAAAAAACCAACAAGAGTTTTAAGAACCGCAATTTTGAATTTACAGTCATCTTTCGACATACTTTAAAATTATATAAAACCCAAAGCGTTTTTTCCTTTCTTTTTAAAACTATCACATTCAGAAACAAAGTAAGCTACCCTTATCATATTGGTACTATCTGTCTCAAACGAATAGAGTGATTTTCGGTCTGACAAAAATCCATTTGGTACGGCAAATTTTTCATTACTGCCGGTCCAAATGAAAAGTTTTCAGCATGTCTAGGAGGAGATTCAACAAACCACCCTTTGGTACGTGAAAGGTCTGCTTTTAATCATCATTTGATCTATTTTATATGAAGATGTATAGGTTTCACAGTAAAAAGTTCCACTTTTATAAAATAAAGACCCCCCCCCCCCCCCCCACAGACCTGAAGGTGTCCTGTAGAAACTTCTTTTGCTTTTAAATTATATTAATTTTTTAATCATGTTTGAAAATTCCAGAGATTGCTGAAGATTTTATTTCGAAAGTGCTGGAGAATGAAAGTATCGTAGGAGAACCTGAGCCCAGTGATGGGGAGAGTATTGGTGACAGCGACAGCGAGGATGAACAAGACCAGTGGGAAAGTGAGGATGATGGTATTGATTGTGTGGCCGACCAGAAATCATCTAAATCTGATTCCAAAGGTTCTGGTAGAAAAAGAGCAGAAGTGCAAGAGAAACGGGAGAAGGTAAATTTTAAAAAACGGGTCATTTTGGGTTGACATTTTTCTGATATTTCATAGAACCATTCTTTCTTATAAGACAATTGGATTCAAGGCTGGCTTGGTAGAACTAATTTTACAGTGTAATAAGTTATGATAATACTAATACAGTATATAACTTTTGTCTTGAGTGCCTTAGTAATTTGCCATTCCTTTCATGAATTAAAAAAGACAGATTCTGTTTCATATTCATAGCAAGTATACTTTGTGACCCAGCATTTGTGTTTAGTGTTTAAGATTATGCATTTGGGATAGCCATTATTGTTTTGTAGGTGAAACATTTAAATGCTAAGAAAAGAGCAGCACTACAGGCTGTTAACTCGTCTCCAGGGACCACTGTTCATAATAACACTTTTACACTGAAGAAGACCTCCTCAAAGTCAAAGCCTAAGGATGAAGATGTTGCAGAGGAACCTAAGCCAAGTGATGAAGAGATATTTATTTCATGTGATAGTGATAGTGACCTTGAACAGGACAGCTGGCAAGTTGAGGGTGATGGGGTTGATGGTGTGTCAGAACATAAATCATCTAAATCTGATTCCAAAGGTTCTGGTAGAAAAAGAGTGGATGTGCAAGAAACAGAGAAACAAGAGAAGGTAATTTAAGAAACAAGTCATTTTGGGTTGACAGTTTCTGCTTGTTGATAAAACTGTTTGTTGTTATCAGTGATATCTATGTTAATCTGAGTATCATGGTTTTAAGGTCATGCAGGTAAAAGTAAGCTGCCGTTTTACAGTATATTTCTATATAGAGTATATTTATTTATAATTGCCTTTTTCTTGATGAATTATAAATACATCCATTTGTCTGTTATAATATATGAACCAGCATATAAAGTTCAGTCTTAATGTTCCCTATGTTGTGTTAGGTTATTGCTTTGACATTACAATCATTGGTTTTCAGGTGAAAATTTTAGAGAAACGTCAAATCTTAACTGCCAAAAGGAGAATAGCACCACAGCCTGTAAATTCATGTCCAATTAACCCCATGTTCATTTCCACGTTTACACCAGAGAAGACATCATCTAGCTCAAAGCTTGACAGAAAACCAAAATCAACCCATTATAAAAAGAATGTGGTTGAGGTAGCCCCCTTTTTAGCTTCCACCCGATCTGAAAACTTTGACTCTTTGGAAAAAAAGAGCTCAGAGCTTGAAAATTATAGAAACGAGATTAAGTCACCAAGGAAGGACAAACATAGAACTGCTAAAATGAAAGAGTCCTACGTTTCAGAAGAAACTGCTTTGACATCCATACATATGAACGAGTATGACGCCGTATCTATGAACTCGCCTCAAATTACAACCTCCAATTCTCCAATGGCGGTGAGCCCTCAAAACTTTCAGACTTTGAATGCTGGCCAATCAGTCTCTGGTGAGCAGCCTCCACATGTAGTTCACACACAGTCTGTGATAAGTAAAAGGCAGGTGTTTATAGGGGAAAATTCAAAACCAAGCACCACAGATGAACGGAAATCTCGTGAAGCTGTCTGGCAGCGTGTCCCAGAAGAAAAGTATGATTGGGCTGTGAGGGAGAGGGATGTGTGCAGAGACAAACATGGGAAGGAAGAAGCCATGGATATCAGCATGACCACTGTCAATACACCACAAATGCAGCCATTTGGTGTTGGAACAAATGCAACTTTTACTGTAGTGCAAAACAAACTTCCTTCGCGTGTTCCTGTGGGTGAGTTTCAATATCAACAGCATGAAGAGTTTCAATATCAACAGCATGAGGAGTTTCAATATCAACAGCATGAAGAGTTTCAATATCAACAGCATGAGGAGTTTCAGCATCAACAGCATGAGGAGTTTCAATATCAACAAGATGATAATGCCTTGACAGATGCCTCGCGTAGAGACAACAGGTGTCATAGGCAATCATCAGCTGTGGTAATTTTCCCATTACCCTCTCCGAAAGACAATCACCACATGGCAAACAACAGACACAATGGAGCCAAGACCTCAGTGTCTTGCAGTCCACGGGTACTGGGTGCTGCTAGTGGGAAGGTTCCAGTAGGGATAGTTCACAGGTCACCACGGCTGACCATTGAAGGGATGGCTTTCTTGATGCACTCACCATTGCCTTATGTCATGGACCCCTTGGAACAACATACTTCTGGGCAAGGTAGGCCTAGTGGCGCCTGTCTGATGACATGAAGTTGAATGCATGCAATTTGTTTTACTGATGAACACTAAATTTAAAAGATGATAATTAATGTGTTTATTGGTTTCAATTGTTGTCCACATGTTATATTTAAATCTGGTCATCGTTTCTGTTTTAAGTCAAGAATATAGAAAAAGAATCCCATTCATGTGATAAAAATTAAAGCATGATAAATATTTTTTTTAAAAAGTGCAAAAATGATACATTGAAGTCATTCCATAGATAATTCCTTTTGAGTAGATAAAATTGAATCATTCAAAAACCTTGGAAATGGAGTGCTTTTGTTTGTCTTTTTTTTGTCAATCATTTGTTAACACTTACAAAAATGAAATACATGGCTCTATTTTTGCTTTTCTTTTAGGTAGTCCAAATCCCTTCACTACACCCAAGTTTACCCAAGAAACTGCCATTGTCAAAGTAACCCCAACCTATCCCCAGCCTACGCAGACCGAGTGTCTGAAGTTCAGCAGTGCTTCAAATACACCAACATCAAGGCAAATCGAAAACCAACTGGATCAGCTCAGGCAGAGTGCCCCTGCCAAATTCATAGGTGGTGTTTCAGGAGCAAGAGGAGCCCAATTCAGTGCTAAGAAGAGACTGGTTTTAGAAAGCACGGCATCAGATCAACATTCTGACATGACATTGCATACAAACTTGTTCGCAAATGTTGACAGGCAATTTGAAGATCAATGCATCAGTGAAAGGTCTCTATTTCAACCTCCTTCCAACCAGTTCTGTCCCATCATGGAGTCTACCAGGATCTCTGAAGGAGCCGGTTTCAAACCTCCCTGGGTGAAGCCTGCAGATATTTTGAAGAATCATTCTGCTGGGATAAGGGGTGCTATTGGTAATCCTAAAGCTGAATCCACAAGGCTTTCCCAAGCAGATACTGAGAAAGTAAACTGTAACAACAGACATCAAGCTGTGCCACCTGTGTGGAATCCTCAGGCTGAGTCAACAAGAATAATGGCAGTTCCAGCAAGTCCAAGTTTGACCAATGGCAGTGATAAATGGATGAGACAAAGTGACAACAGCAACAGTAGTCGCAGTGGTGTCAGTCTTCATGGCAGCAGAGACATGTTTGATTCAAACGTATGTACAGTGTCAGGCCCCGTGTTCCGCACTCCAACTTCAAGACCAAGGCAAAAGACAAGAACTCCAAGCTCAAGACCAGACACTCTGATATCAGGACCGTGTACTCCAAGGGCAAGGTCACTTACTCCAACTTCAAGGTCATCAACTCCAGGCTCTAGATCAAATACATTAGTGCCAGGGTCATTTACTCCAAGTTCAAGGTCACACAGTCCAGGGGCAAGGTCACTCACACCAACTTCAAGGTCAACAACTCTGATGCCAGGGTCATGCTCTCCAAGTTCAAGATCACACAGTCCAAAGGCAAGGTCACTCACTCCAACTTCAAGGTCAACAACACCAAGCTCTAGGTCAACAACTCCAAGCTCCAAACCATTCACTCCACATGCAAGGTCTGTCACTCCAACCATGAGGTATGAAACTCCTAGGTCGAGTAAAATTAATCCAACGTCGGGCCGGTTTGCTCCGGATGCACAGTCTCCCTCAGAGTACATACAGCGGCTTCAGCTGAACACACCACTATCATCTGGTTATTCAAAGGATCCAAACACACCTCTACACCATTCACCAAAGAAATTAGGTCACAGATTTCAAGACGGAAATCTGGGATGTGAATCTGTGGACAGTGGGATGGATGTTTCGGTGAACATGGAAGAAATATCTTATGAGACTCAGGGTGCTGGTTTTGAGTATTCTTCAGCATTGGCTAATGGGCATGCCAACACAAAGAAGGATAAAAAGGAAGTGAGAAGATTGATTGCTGTGACAGCTGACTCAGCTGGTTATACTCGGCCAACTTTGGATGAGATGGATGACAGGAGGGTCCAGCCTGTGATTGCTGATTCAATATCAAGTCACGTTAGGGAGGAGAAGGACAGGGACAGCCATGTACACAAAATATACAAAACTAAGAGCAAGAAATATCAATCACCTTTTCAGTCAAAGAAACAAGAACAAGACGACAGTGGGCAGCTGTCACCAAGAGTTTCACCCCCTAGTCAGAAGTCATCCAAGAGTCTGTCCTTTGACACATTCCCCCAATCATGGAAACCTAAAAATCAGAAGCTCGAGTCCCAAATCAGTAGTGAGCCTGTTTATCCAGGCACCCCTGACAAGCAAAAAGGTAATTCAAAGTTCAGACGCAAGAGCATCACCAGTACCCCAAACAAGGAAGATGAAGATTCTTTCCATATTGACTCCAGTGACATATCTTCCATCAGCAATTCCAGTTCCAGATTTGGAGGTATGGTATATTCAACAGACCTTGAAGAATCAGAGAACAGCGACCTCGAATGTAACAATAGCTACGATTCTGATGGTGTGGAATTGTTAGACTTGGATGCCACAATGGGATCGAAGGAGAAGGCGCAAATAGCTGAATGCTCCTGGAGCACCAACGATCTGAAGGACCAAGATGATATGGACAGAACTCTTGTGAAACATTCTCTTGATCAGTCTCGTGATCTATCCAACTCACATGACTTGAATTTTGAAAAGGCAAGCCTTAACCAAGAAGGGGTAGTAAAAGCTGCAAAAAAGCAATTGTTTGGTAAAGAACAGATGGGACAGGGTCAAAGGAATGAGAAAATCCACCGAGCACCATCAGTAAAAGAGAGAAACCAGCAGAGGGAGATGGGAACATCAGGTAATGGAAAGCCTAAATTTAAAACCAATGGGCAGAGGATAGATTCAAGAGGGAGATTTCTGGCAGGGAGAAGTATACAAGATGATCAGGGGAAGCAGCAGGAGCTGAAGGACAAGCAACATTCAGTTCAAGCTGAAGAAAAAGAAACCACTGCAGGCTCAAGTACAAAAAATAAACAACCAGCTGGATTGTTTTCAAAAGTTTCTTATAAGATTAAACCCCAAAGTGTGCCAAAATATGACTGTGAAGAGTCAACCTTAAAAGATACCTCCTTTGCAAATACTTTAAAGAGTATAAGAGGGTCCTCGAGACACAACTTGGAACAAGATGGAGATTATTCCAATTTTGGGGGTGAAAGTAAAAGGAAGACCATTGAAGATCCACGTCATCCTAAGCAAGAGAAACGGAGTCAAGTGCCAAGCAACTTTTACAGCAAAAACCTCAGAGGTCTTGGAGCTCACCATGATGGAAATGATGTGTTGTTGTATAGTGAAGATGAGACGGCTCGTGTCAAGAAGAGAGAGAGACAGCCTGGTAGTGTCAGATACCCAGTGGAGTCAGATACTGGTATGCAGGGTAATGTTTCAAGATCAAGACACCGAGTTGGTGAAGACCAGTCCAGGCCAAAAGGTGGTGGAAGTGTTCAAACTGACCGTTATGGATTTAGTGATTCTGAAAGCATCACCAGAAGGAATTTGGACAAGAAATCAAAATTCAGATTCCCAGAAGATCGTGTGCAAGGACACGCCAGATCTCCAAAGCGACTTTGGCATGATGAACCCTGGCAAATGGTAAGTCCTCCAAAAATGAAGAGAATTGATTACAGGCCAAAGTCTGATATGCAGAACATTTCTCTCTGTCTGGGAAAGGGCAATTGTAGCAAGAGCTTTTGCTTTTCATGCATTGATGAATAACAATTTCAGAAAATCAGAAATGGCTGTGTAACAGCATGGAGCAGTTTTTTCTTGTGAACTTGTAGGACAAATATGCTTGTAAAATTTGTCAGTTTTAGAGTTTAGAGTTTTTAAAAAAATAATATTTAAGTATATTGTGTAATTGTTCTCTGAATTAAGGAGATAGTTGTAATTTAACTTTGACAATGATTAACAAATGTACCATTCATGTTAGATTTAAATGTTTTTATAATCCAATTTCACGTTTTAAATTTAGTGTTTGACAAACTAGGAAATGGCTGCCAAGATGGAGCTAGTTTTATTGGTTCAGGGCAAAAACAAAAACTAAAAAAAAAATTGCCAGACTGTTTTATAACTGTTTAGATGGACTTTGTTATATTTATTTAACTTTATGTACTTTCAAATGAAAGTAAGGATTTTATTATTTTTTTGAACAAGTTGTACTTTTATTTTCATTTATTCGTAAATAAAATTTTAGTTTTATATTTTGTTTTTGTGAATTCTTGAATTGTCCCTGCTTTGAAAAATTTAACTGAAATTAAAACATTTGTTAAATCAGTCTAAACAAAAACCAATTTGAACTTATACACCCCATTTCCATAGATTTTTAGATCGATCTATCCCTGTGGGGAGTCTCACTAGATTACTGTCAGCTTGGCTGGCTTAAGCGTCTGTTCCACCTACTAAAAGCTGTAAGGGGGTAATTACCTATGGTGCCCGCTCAGCTGACTGCAATTTAGCGTGAACCCCCAAGGAGTTAGGTCAATCTAAAACTTAATCTTTAGATCGATCTAAATCTCTGGGAAAGCACCCATATTTAAATGATTTTTAAAATGACAGTAAAAGTGTATGTACATAAATGCACAATATCTTTTCTATTATTAAAATTTAGAAAACAACGGATAATGTTTCAAACTCCCCATAAGGTAGAAATTTTGAAGTATCATCATACAAGATTTTAATTAGATAATAAAAAACTCAAATAATAAATTTACTCGTGTTTTATTGAAGACTTACACACGTCTATAATCTTACAATGTCTATTCAACAGCACTGTCTTATACAATATAACTCTAGCACAAAAGGCAATTGTCGCAATAACATTTTATCCCCTCTGCAAAAGGCTAGCCATGCATCAAACACATTCAACAAAATACTTTTTTATAGCTGGAATTCTGGTAGGGCTTTAAGACCCCTTTAAAAAAGAGAACTTTGTTAAGCAATATTATCCAGGATAAAGAGTGACACTTACACAGAAATAAATACAATTTGATTTTTCTTTGTACCTTTAAACAAATGTCCTAAACATGAAGAATCGAAAAACATAAATAAAAAACCCTTTCACTTTGAGCTGTCAGGTTGGGTTGCTATCATGGTGCTGCTCATGTTTAAAATATTCCATGAAATCTAACCATTCTGTACCCAACATTTGCTAACACCCGAACAGGCAACCTAAATATCAACTGATAGAAATGAATGACATCATGATCATCCCTCTACATTCATTGGCCTTGTAAGGCCCAGATGACGGAGTGGTTAATTTTTTTTTTTTTGTGTTCCACCCTCCATACCTTGTATCAGCTACCATTATTGTTATACACATTTGACATTATCATGAACAAAACTCTTGCAAGAAGCTGCGGTTCTTTTCATATGTGCTTACAATATTGCTGTACCACACACGATTTGGTTGTTCTGAGTGTATTTAGCATATTATGTAATGTACAGTGATCCCCTACTGTTCTGGAATGATGTGGTCCACTTTTCACTCAAAATATGTAGAACACACTCAGGAGTGGAGCACCTTATTCTTCTACATGAAATCAACATTCATGTTTTAATCACTTTGCAGCAAACCAAAAAATTACCAATCATCATCTGTGCACTGTTTTCAGTACTGGGTCAGTGAGGTGTCCACATCAAACTAGAAACATATTCAAAATTACAAAATTTCCATGACAATTTCACAAGAGATAAAAGTTGTGCCAGTAGTTGGAAGTTTGCGGGGAGAGGGGTGTCTTTCATCTTTTAAGATAATAATAATAATATTAGGTACACTTTGTAGAAGCATGTTTCAATCATGTTGCCCTTTTCAGTAACCCTTCACAGAGTGTCAAGTTATAACGTAAATCTGAAATTGAAAAAGATATATTCAAAAAATAGGAAAAAATAGAAATTTTCACTAGAAAATGGGAATCTCCCCAAAAAAGTAGGAAAAATAGGAACTTGACACCCTGCTTTCATTACAATAAGTCCCTGAAACCTCCTAAAAACATATTTAATACTTTGAAGTTGGGTATTTGCGTAAAATACCACAGGAACAAAAACTGGTGTCTCTGACAATATAATACATTATGTTGAAGAGTGACAAAGCAAACTGTTGAACAGTTTCATTAGCTATGTGCTTGAAATGACCAATGCAGTTTCTTTCGTCAATAGCTAAAGAAAATTCACTGATATTTACCTATCACTGCCCTTGTTTTCTTGATGAAGTCGGACTGTCAGCTGACAAAATACTGGCAAGTTAATTTTCTATAGCTATTGACATAAAAAACTCTTATAGGTCTAACCAGTATCTGCAAGCCTGAGACTGTGAACAAAAGTTATTCATGTGTCCTGTACATGTCTATAAAAAAATCCTGGGGGAAACTCCCGGCAAGTCAGCCCCATGGTTCAACCTTCCTGTGGCCAAGCTACAGATCATCACAGACGCAAACTTACGATGACATAATAAATATACCAAGTCTAGTTACTGTTATATATTAATATATGTTAGCTAGTCAAGTGTATCTTAACAACCATAGCAATGTTTCAAAACAACTGATCAAACAAAATATGAAGCATTACCTTAAGATTGGTTCTTTAAAGTTTTACAAAAGTGAAATTTGTCATCATATTCAAGGTAAAACACTGGAAAATAAAGCTAGTGAAAGGAAATCAGTCTTCCTCCTGATGATAATAAACCAATTCAAGAAGTGAGCAGTTTTGCGTATTTCTTTATCTTAGAAATAATAATAGCTATATTTAAGCCTTAACATGTAGTCAACATCATATATAGTGTGCATTTCTCTTCCCCAGTCAAATATGAACTGTACATTTGATGTGTGTCAATGTGTGCCTTTGCTGTATTATATTACAACATTGTATCTACCCTGTATATTGTGACCACAGTCTACACCTGTCTCTTCACCCTGAGTGTCAAGGGGCATTCACACCTGTCCTGCTTAATGTCAAATAGTGTAGGCAACAAATAATTGATGGGAGTTCCTACTAGGATCCCCGTGTGATCTGTGTATCTTGTAGTGTGTAGTACCTAGACCATTTTCGGTTTAAGTGTAGACAGGTCTGAATGCACCATCAGAGTACTGTTTTGTGACTCACAATGTCATCAACACGAAATGACAGAAAGGTGAGTGAATTAATGTCTGTTTTACAGACAAATCTCATTTTCACACACTTCTTACAAGGATGCAATATATATTTTATCCACAACATAATTCTANTTTTCATATGTGCTTACAATATTGCTGTACCACACACGATTTGGTTGTTCTGAGTGTATTTAGCATATTATGTAATGTACAGTGATCCCCTTCTGTTCTGGAATGATGTGGTCCACTTTTCACTCAAAATATGTAGAACACACTCAGGAGTGGAGCACCTTATTCTTCTACATGAAATCAACATTCATGTTTTTAATCACTTTTCAGCAAACCAAAAAATTACCAACCATCATCTGTGCACTGTTTTCAGTACTGGGTCAGTGAGGTGTCCACATCAAACTAGAAACATTCAAAATTACAAAATTTCCATGACAATTTCACAAGAGATGGAAAGTTGTGCCAGAAGTTGGAAGTTTGCGGGGAGGGGGGTGTCTTTCATCTTTTAAGATAATAATATTAGGTGTACTTTGTAGAAGCATGTTTCATTCATGTTGCCCTTCTCAGTCACCCTTCACAGAGTGTCAAGTTATAACGAAAAAATGTATTAAAAAAATAGGAAAAAATAGAAATTTTCACTAGAAAATGGGAATCTCCCCAAAAAAGTAGGAAAAATAGGAACTTGACACCCTGCTTTCATTACAATAAGTCCCTGAAACCTGCTACAAAACATGTTTAATACTTTGAAGTAAAATACCACAGAAACAAAAACTGGTGTCTATGACAATATAATACATTATGTTGAAGAGTGACAAAGCAAACTGTTGTACAGTTTTATTAGCTATGTGCTTGAAATGACCAATGCAGTTTCTTTCGTCAATAGCAATAGAAAATTAACTGATATTTACCTATCACTGCCCTTGTTTTCTTGAAGTCTGACTGTCAGCTGACAAAATACTGGCTAGTTAATTTTCTACAGCTATTGACATAAGAAATTCTTATAGGTCAAACCAGCATCTGCAAGCATGAAACTGTGAACAAAAGTTATTCATGTGTCCTGTACATGTCTATAAAAAATTCCTGGGGGAAACTCCCGGCAAGTCATCCCCATGGTTCAACCTTCCTGTGGCCAAGCTCCAGATCATCACAGACGCAAACTTACGATGACATAATAAATATACCAAGTCTAGTTACTGTTATATATTAATATATGTTAGCTAGTCAAGTGTATCTTAACAACCATAGCAATGTTTCAAAACAACTGATCAAACAAAATATGAAGCATTACCTTGAGATTGGTTCTTTAAAGTTTTACAAAAGTGAAATTTGTCATCATATTCAAGGTAAAACACTGGAAAATAAAGCTAGTGAAAGGAAATCAGTCTTCCTCCTGATGATAATAAACCAATTCAAGAAGTGAGCGGTTTTGCGTATTTCTTTATCTTAGAAATAATAATAGCTATATTCAAGCCTAAACATGTATCAGTACCACCTTTTCTAATATTTATAATAGTCAACATCATATATGCTGTGCATTTCTCTTCCCCAGTCAAATATGAACAGTACATTTGATGTGTGTCAATGTGTGCCTTTGCTGTATTATATTATAACATTGTATCTACCCTGTATATTGTGACCACAGTCTACTACTGTCTCTTCACCCTGAGTGTCAAGGGGCATTCACACCTGTCCAGCTTAATGTAAACTAGTGTAGGCAACAAATAATTGATGGGAGTTCCTACTAGGATCCCCGTGTGATCTGTGTATCTTGTAGTGTGTAGTACCTAGACCATTTTCGGTTTAAGTGTAGCCAGGTTTGAATGCACCATCAGAGTACTGTTTTGTGACTCACAATGTCATCAACACAAAATGACAGAAAGGTGAGTGAATTAATGTCTGTTTTACAGACAAATCTCATTTTCACACACTTCTTACAAGGATGCAATATATGTTTTATCCACAACATAATTCTATTCCTGGAATAAATAAAGCTCACTTTAATTGTGTATAGTTTGTTCATTAAATGTGAACTGAATAACTTCAACGTCTTCTAGTAAAGACTATCTGGCTTCCTCAACTTCCTCTAGCAATATAACAAACACAAACTTTCAATCCAAATCCATACTTTCCATTTCAGAGAGACTGTCTTCATGTGACAACAGCTTCAACACTCACTTAACACAGTCATCCTGATATCTAAGTTCTATTTATTTGTCAGACTTGTAGCTGTACATCAGAGATAGAGCATGAAACATCAGCATTGTTTCTGGCAGTACAACATCAAATTCACATCCCTATGCGTCTAAGTCCAGTCCACGTTATCTCTCATTGATCAAATGCACCTTTGACGCTCCTACTGGAGAAGTTTCTAGAAATAAAAATGGTTAACAATTGTAATCTCAACAAAAAACAGATTTAATTCTAGATATATTGTATGCTTTGGAGGCAAAATCTGAAATGATTTACACAATATAATTATTTTTCTTTGTTATCTGACCTACATTTAAATATAAAAAACATTACAATATTCATCTTAGGCAATGGTAACTCACCCTCCTCCCCTCCTTCCTCTGCCCATCTCTGTCTTGCCCCAAGCAGAGTATCTGAGTCTATATCCTCTGTTCTTGTGGGATAAGTCACACCGTCTCCAAAGCTGAAAAATAAAACAAAGACAAAATGTGTAAAATGCCAGAAGCACTCAACTGTGCTGACAATTTAACTGTGTAGATTTTACAACTTCAACTTTGTGATATAATTATCATAACAAATGTACAGTAGCCTTCACATTACAGTAGCCTTCTACACTTCGAGACCCAAAAGTTCATTTGAGACACAATACGGGAAGATTCAAGTTTGTCAATGTTCACATTAATTTCAGCTTACACCAAAAAAAAATTCCATTCTATAAGGTTTGTCTACAATAAGCAATAATTCAAGTTACAAGGTGACTAGTCATGTAGAGTCTACTGTACCCACAACCATGAATCATTCCAATCATTAAATCAATCAAACTGGAAACTGATGTACAAAACACAGCTCTTCAATAAAAACATCTTCAATGAAATTTACAACTTTTAATCCCCCAACTCACAAAAACTTTGCTGTAACCCAGCATGCAGGAAGTACAGTGTATTAGGTGAAAGCATCCAGTCAGTTAACCAGACATATACATTGCGGTGTGCTAAATGCTTCAACCAATGTTGCATCTAGTGTTAGCGTCTCCAACCACTTGGTATTTACAACAAACATATTACATAATTTTCAGGGTAAAGTCACTGAACAAGTCTTGGTATAATAGTTGTGTCTTGTTTATAACCTCCACCAAGGGGGTTATGCTTTTGCCTTTTTTGGAAGGATTCTGTTACAGTTTTCAGAGCAGGTAAGAAATGACATTAGTTAAAATCGTTTGGATTTTAGTGGTGATCCATTAATAACTAGTAATAAATAAATCCTTTATGAGAACTGAGCTGCCTTGGCAGAGGTCTGCACTCTCTGAGTGCCTTAGTGGAGGTCTAGCTAGCTGCACTCTCTGAGTGCCTTGGTGGAGGTCTGCACTCTCTGAGTGCCTTGGTGGAGGTCTGCACTCTCTGAGTGCCTTGGCGGAGGTCTGCACTCTCTGAGTGCCTTGGTGGAGGTCTGCACTCTCTGAGTGCCTTGGCGGAGGTCTGCCCTCTCTAAATGCTCTCCTACTTTTAGATTGGTTAATGCTGTCTGCTGGGACACTAATAACTTAACCCGTCTGAGTTTTAATATCAGAAAAGAGATGCCTTAATACTGCATCCACCTGCTGTGTAATCTCCAGGTGAAGGAGTGAAGCATCACGTGGGTAGGTATGAGAATGTTATTACTTTTTGCAATATTTTACTCTATTTAATTTTAAGATCTGTTGTATTGATTTACTGAGTGACATTTACATCATTTCTGGCATGAAGCCAACCAATTTTTCTGAAATTAATTAAAAATTAACAATTTCATGCCAACCAATTTTTCTGAAATTAATTAAAAATTAACAATTTTAAGTAAATCTAACAAAGCACTGTTTTGGGGAACTTCTAACTTATTTAGTTCAAACTGACTAGGTAATTATCTTTGGTATCTGGGTGACATTAAACCATCTATTACTTTGAGTGATTTTTAGATGCTCTTTCATTAATTTTATTAGCCCTGTTCGTACCTCAAGAAAAAAAATTCTTACCCTCAACCCAATTCAGTGCTCCATTTATATTCCCAATTGTATAGGTGTAGGTGTTAGACTATCTCCAAGTCTATAATATAATTCTAATCTTAACTTTGTAACATCAAACTTTACTCTCTAAAGAATAATTTTAATTTCTGGGTGGGATGTGTACTAATAATTTCTTGCAGCGAGCATGTAGATATTCCCAACATATGACAACCTGACCATCAGGTGAAGTTCCTGACTGTGTTACTACTACTGAGTAGACACTTGGGACATGGGGAAATCAATTATGGAGGAATAGGACAAGAGGTCCATTAAAGAAATAGAAAATATGGAGATATTTTGTGAAACTTGTCTCATTGAAAATGGTACTTTTATATAGTAATTTTCTCTGACTTATCAATAATAGTACTTTTATATAAAACATGATATGTGAATTGACATGTTATTTTATCAATAATTGACAATATCATCTAAATGATCAGATATACACATATATATTGACAGCCCTGGAGATTGAGGTAGCAAAATATTTCTACACAAAAATCTTAACTACTTCACAATGTCAGGCTAAAGTAAGTGTTAATCTCACCTCACAATTTTCAGACTAGAAAATATTAAAATACTCAAAGCTTTCAAGTATTGCAATCACATATTACAATTAAAAGATATGTTAATAGAAAGACCCTACTTCACACACACATATCAAACTGGCATGCACTGTAAGAAGCAAAATGAAAAGTTACCCACACCTTATGACTCAGGCAAGTCGAGCAACACATCTAGAAATCAAAGTAGATCCAATGAGGATTAGTATTCTAAAGAGCACACCAAAACACATAGAAGCCAATGTATTTTTTTGCTTTTTTTCTAATTAAGGCTAGGGTTAGAAACAAAAATATGAACCATTTTCCACTTGTAGAAGGTGCTAAAATGACTTCAATCCCAGTTTTTATTTTTACCAGTTAAATCTTAAACTGTGCGTTTCCTGGACAGAAATAAAATATACATTGGCTACTATATGCAACAAAGCACACCAAAAAAATAAAAAAACACTGATTTGACTTCTGACCTTGGGCTTGCCGTGGCTGGATTTGTCTCACTCATCGTGTTGTACGAGCTCGCAACATTAGCATCTACTCGTGTTGGAAATGACAAGCCATCGCCAAGACTACAAGAAAGAGAAAGGGTCAACATGCTGAGTTATAAAATCAGCAATGAGCAGCACTGCCTCAAACCAGCTGAAAGAGCCTGCTTCCAGATTGTACAATAGATGGAGCCAGTGTCATTTACAGTTAGCCATAGCTAACAAATTCATTCTGATACAGTAAATGGGAATGTTACAGTGACTATCTTTTTTTTTTCTAAGACAAAACAGCAAACAGCAGTCCAACACCTGAAAAACATGCACTTATCAATTCCCATTTTAGACTTCAAAACAACATCTGACCCAAAAGGAATGCATAGTTACCTAGTAAATACTGGTAGAAACCACTTCTTCCTATCATCACCAAATATTTCCTGAAAGTTGGCTCTTTTCCCAAGACTGAAGCCATTTTTGTCTGGGCCAGACCTAAATATGGGTGCTCGGAATGATTCTGGAAAGAATAAGCCCCCATTCAAATAATGTTCTAAATCTTCCTTCTGTCCTCTACACAGAAGTTTGAAAGTACTCATTTTCATTATATTATATTATATTATAAATACCTGGAAATACCATACCCTTTTCAAATAATTTACAAATCTCTTAAGTGATTTGGTAATGTAAGTTAAGTACCTAAATGGTGAAATTTTGTACCAAATGTAATTATCATGCACTTTAAGGTATACTACCCACATTTTAAATGTCCCAAAGTCATATTTTCTATGTCTATACATCCAGCAAAGCTACCTATCTTCATCAAGTCATATCTTAAAGGGATAATAACTCTTCGTATGAGATCTATATTTCACAATAAAAACATTGTGAACAACTCGTAGAAATATAATATATTCTGTTGTACAAAAAAAAACGGCACTTATAGCTATTGTCTTCAGACCATATGACCTCCATTGATGGCTATACTCTGTTATAATCTCTTAAGAGATTTTAACAAAAAAACCAAACTTTTTAGAATAAAACCAGGGACTAACTTTGAATGTAAAAATGGATTCATTAACCATTGGTAAGTATGGAAAAATTGTTGTTTACTCCTGGAAAATTCATTTTTTGGCCAAAATGAAGAGTTATTATCCCTTTAACAATGATAAAAAACCCTCAAATAGAATGAAAAGTGCCAAATTTTCTATGTGAAAATGTTCACTTACCTAATGTTGACCTGTTGTGTAGGGTTAGAAAAACATGGTAGCCAAACAGTGAGATGAGACTTATAGAGAACATCACGGAGGCAAAGAACAGGAACAGGATGTGAAACCTGCCCAAGTCGTTGTGGAAACCACCCTGCTGAGAACACAATAGAAACAAGGATTTATTACAAAGATTGTTATAATATCTGAACACAGAAACGCTGAGATTTGTCATTTATTGAGTTTTTGAAAGACTTACAAGTATAGAAGGTCCAATTATAGAAAAGAAATGGAGCAAAATACCTGCTTTAAGTTTTGATACCCGCAATGTTATTATGAGCTTGAACCTGTCTTTACAAAGCATTTCTTATGATGTTTGCAGAGTGACAACAACCTTTCTTACAACTTTTGCATTGGTTCAAAGCAAATAAAACTTTTAAATTATGCATCAAACAATTACAGCAGGACCATATTTGCAAACACTATTCAAATATGCATTCACTTTCCAATGTAAATTTACAAGAAGGAACTAAATAAGACCCAAATCATTCAATTTATTTGCTTAAATTGTGTAGTTTTACAGAATAATATGTCAATTATCTCAGCTCCAATCCATTCCATGCTATGAAAAAAATATACATCAAAAGCTGTTCTGAAACCAGATCAATACTTGTAATATTACTACATGCATCAATCAGCCATTCAAGAATTGGCAGCTAAATAAGATATACATGGACCCACTGTCACTCAATTGAATTACTCTTCTCATACGCCTCAATAAGTGTCACAATAATGGACACTATATAAAGTTTTTCTATTCAAGATGTATCTTGGGTCCTACTTGCATCATATTTTCGTCTCTTCACCCTGTATATGCCAACTGCTCACAAAATCAATGACACTGAATAATAAAATTCTCCTTTCCCTTTTTTTTTTTCAAGCCAAAGAGTATTGTAAGCTATCCTTGGATACAAACTAAAAATCTGTATCATTTCAGCATTAAAATCTGTATCATTTCAGCATTAATTGCCACATAAGGAATAGCCCGGTTTACTACTTACCGTCCAAAATCTTATGAAATATTTAAGCACTGTTAATGTCACGTATAAACAGTACAGAAGTGCATATCCCAAGAAGATGACAAAAAACTTGTAGTTGGTGAAAGACACGCAATTGTTGACCCTGAAAAATTAAAATTGAAGCTTCATTGGAATAAACTGTGGAAGGTCAAGTAATTTCTTACGCAGAAAAAGAAATTATGGTTATTTTGTCGCCTGATCAATATTATTGGCTCCAAAAAAAGAAAAACCTGTCAAATGAGTACAAATTGCCATTCAAAATGTATTGAATTTCAATTAATGGCATGTTTTAAAATAGTAAATCAGACGTTTATATTATTATGATCAATATTTTTCATTAAGCAAAACAAAACATGGTGTTGTTTGCAATGGTGATATAAAGTTTAAAATTATAATATATAAATAAAGGTAAAATACTACCATATTTCACAAATGTTACAGCTATTTACACTTACCAAGGGCAGTGGTGATCCATTTTAAGTATGCAACTGAAAAAGAAAGAATTATTTAGTCAAGAAAATGTGCAGTATCATTATCATCTTCAAAAATCCCTATTTATACACTTTTCACTGTTCTTTCATCAGAATTCTTGCTTCCTTTCCTTTCTTTAACATTTCTTTCTTTTATTATTATCATTTTAATTTTTTTTTGGAGGGGGGTTAACAAATGAAATTGATGTAAGGCAGTATACGCTCTCTATGACGATGTGTATATCACAATTACTGCGTTTTAATTCAAGCAGACAAAGTGACACGAGATACTGGTGTCAAATTAGTCTACTATGGCCATCTCTTGTAGTAATAAGCATGCCTGATGCCTCATTTTCTCCAACACTATGCTCTTGTTTTTTATAACAAATGACATTCCTCATCTCAACAACTTCATTCTCATTAGTTTATGGCAAAAACATAGCTTGAGCTGAGAATAACAAGACATAATTGTCTCAATGATCTCTACTTACGTCCCACACATAGAGCAATGGTGTGCTCTGTCTGGTTTAATACATTTGCACTTCTCACAGTATCTGTATGCTGAAAGATATGAAAACGATTAAATTAAATTAAATTGAATGCCATTTCACATGTGCTTAATTTTTTCATTAACTACTGATGACTACATTTTTAACACAGTTCAGCATATGCCTATAACTAGAGACAGTAACTCAGAATTCTGCCATTATCTGTTTTTTTTTTTTTTTTTTTTTTTTTTGGCGACAATTTGGGTAATAATTCAATCCTGTGATGAAGTATAAGGTAATAATAAGGTAATTATATTCGGTATAAATGGAAGTCAAAAAATCCACAGTTGTAGATAGTGAGTTCAGCTTACCCCCTGTAGCTGTTCTGCATTGCACTGGTAAATTTCGATCTCGGACCAATTTTGCCAATATTTGTCGCTGTTGCTCTTCATTCTCTGAAGATTCAAATCTTGCAACATCTTGTTCTGAGAGATAAAACTGAAAAAAAAAAGGTAAAATCTGACTGGCAGCCCCTTCATCATCGTGATTTAATGCTAATTTTATTATCAAAACAACAAGGAGATTTCTGGAGAAAACCATATAATTTCAATGCATGACTGACTCAATTTAGTGGCTTGAATGCTTTATTGAAATTGTCAGAGATATCTGCAAACATTCTTCAGTCAAAATCTAATCATTTTTAATCTGCTTTCAACTTAACAATTTGCAGCATATAACCAAACACAGGAATCAAACAGTACAGACTGCTTTAGGGGTACATTTTGCTATAATTATTATAATACTAGGATAATCCTGATCTACCTATGAGCAAATACACTCGATTAAATTCCTCTCTTGGGACAATGATATGCTTCTCATCCCAATAAATGTCTCACTAATGACTTTCTCAGGTCAGATGAGATCAATAGAAACCAGAATTACCTCTGAATGTAAATGGAAACCAGGGACTAGAAAAAGTTTCCATGGTAAAACCCTACACGGATAATATATGATGAGCATCTCTTTGTATCATTATGAATGTGAATGTATCTAACTCGACCCTTTGTCCTCAAGTTTTTCTTTCAATGTTCACTTGGCCTTAAAATTTAGGTCAAGGTCAAGTATTTGCTTCTGATGCCCTTTCAGAAAATTCCACAAGTGGTGAAATGTCTTTTAAAGGTCAAATGACATTCTTAAACAATTGCATTTATCTATACAGTGCAAGACCCACATCCTCAGTTTCAGAGTAATGACAGAGACTTTCCCACCAGCACTCCATAATACCTCAGTTAAAATATTGTTGTAATATGGTTAAGATTCACCAGAGAAATTTTACTGTTTAATGATTCCACTTGGTTTAAGGAGGGTAATAGGGGTGACCTGCATCCATAATTCAGAATATATGGTTTTGATTATATGGGGGAATCAGAGTAAATTTATTAAATTTTGTATATTACCTGAAAGTGATGTCATTTAATCATAAAAATGGGGTCTTGAGCACCAAGTCAAGCTATACGTAAATGGCACACAAGTGCTGGTTATAGCAAAGTGTTTCCAACATTCTGAACCTCGGGGTGATACAACCTAACCAATCACACCATTGCCACATTATCCAATCACCCCCTGATAGACAGTCATCTCAAGCCGTAACTGATGGGAGCCCAGTGACGCCTGCTGTAAATGATATCCACTCATCACTGCGTCAAGATGGTCTAATGTACTGCTGTATTGTATGGCGCGTCTCACATATTGGAAGAAATGAGGATTATTGAACAATTCTTCATCTATTCTGATCACTGCAATGCTTTTTCACCAAGATACAGGCAGTAATGTTCAGCAGTTACTCATACGCACAAGTATAAACACCCACATACTCATTTCCTCCTACTCAAGGCTGTAAAATAAACACCAGATGCACGCACACATGCGCACACACAGACACACTGTCACACACACAGACACATGAAAAGGACAAATTCTGGTGGATAACATAATCTTTATAACTGAATTGAAGACAAGAATATTTAAAATGGAGAAATGCAGAAAAAAGAAAGTGTACCTGTTTAGGTGTTTTCCCAGGCTCTGTATATATAGCTTGCCAGTAAGACCAGCCAAAGAATAGAAAGAACGGATGGTACAGCAACAACAGTATAACTGGAAACAGAAAAATAACTAGAGGATCAGAGAGGCGATACCGCCTCCGAATATTGTACCACCAGCTGGAGCAAGCACATTCGTATAGACCCCCACATACACAAAATAAGGGACACAGCCACCAGTTTTGTGCTTGACAAGCTGTAAAAATNTTTCCACATGTGCTTACAATATTGCTGTACCACACACGATTTGGTTGTTCTGAGTGTATTTAGCATATTATGTAATGTACAGTGATCCCCTACTGTTCTGGAATGATGTGGTCCACTTTTCACTCAAAATGTGTAGAACACACTCAGGAGTGGAGCACCTTATTCTTCTACATGAAATCAACATTCATGTTTTAATCACTTTGCAGCAAACCAAAAAATTACCAATCATCATCTGTGCACTGTTTTCAGTACTGGGTCAGTGAGGTGTCCACATCAAACTAGAAACATATTCAAAATTACAAAATTTCCATGACAATTTCACAAGAGATAAAAGTTGTGCCAGTAGTTGGAAGTTTGCGGGGAGAGGGGTGTCTTTCATCTTTTAAGATAATAATAATAATATTAGGTACACTTTGTAGAAGCATGTTTCAATCATGTTGCCCTTTTCAGTAACCCTTCACAGAGTGTCAAGTTATAACGTAAATCTGAAATTGAAAAAGATATATTCAAAAAATAGGAAAAAATAGAAATTTTCACTAGAAAATGGGAATCTCCCCAAAAAAGTAGGAAAAATAGGAACTTGACACCCTGCTTTCATTACAATAAGTCCCTGAAACCTCCTAAAAACATATTTAATACTTTGAAGTTGGGTATTTGCGTAAAATACCACAGGAACAAAAACTGGTGTCTCTGACAATATAATACATTATGTTGAAGAGTGACAAAGCAAACTGTTGAACAGTTTCATTAGCTATGTGCTTGAAATGACCAATGCAGTTTCTTTCGTCAATAGCTAAAGAAAATTCACTGATATTTACCTATCACTGCCCTTGTTTTCTTGATGAAGTCGGACTGTCAGCTGACAAAATACTGGCAAGTTAATTTTCTATAGCTATTGACATAAAAAACTCTTATAGGTCTAACCAGTATCTGCAAGCCTGAGACTGTGAACAAAAGTTATTCATGTGTCCTGTACATGTCTATAAAAAAATCCTGGGGGAAACTCCCGGCAAGTCATCCCCATGGTTCAACCTTCCTGTGGCCAAGCTCCAGATCATCACAGACGCAAACTTACGATGACATAATAAATATACCAAGTCTAGTTACTGTTATATATTAATATATGTTAGCTAGTCAAGTGTATCTTAACAACCATAGCAATGTTTCAAAACAACTGATCAAACAAAATATGAAGCATTACCTTGAGATTGGTTCTTTAAAGTTTTACAAAAGTGAAATTTGTCATCATATTCAAGGTAAAACACTGGAAAATAAAGCTAGTGAAAGGAAATCAGTCTTCCTCCTGATGATAATAAACCAATTCAAGAAGTGAGCGGTTTTGCGTATTTCTTTATCTTAGAAATAATAATAGCTATATTCAAGCCTAAACATGTATCAGTACCACCTTTTCTAATATTTATAATAGTCAACATCATATATGCTGTGCATTTCTCTTCCCCAGTCAAATATGAACAGTACATTTGATGTGTGTCAATGTGTGCCTTTGCTGTATTATATTATAACATTGTATCTACCCTGTATATTGTGACCACAGTCTACTACTGTCTCTTCACCCTGAGTGTCAAGGGGCATTCACACCTGTCCTGCTTAATGTCAAATAGTGTAGGCAACAAATAATTGATGGGAGTTCCTACTAGGATCCCCGTGTGATCTGTGTATCTTGTAGTGTGTAGTACCTAGACCATTTTCGGTTTAAGTGTAGACAGGTCTGAATGCACCATCAGAGTACTGTTTTGTGACTCACAATGTCATCAACACGAAATGACAGAAAGGTGAGTGAATTAATGTCTGTTTTACAGACAAATCTCATTTTCACACACTTCTTACAAGGATGCAATATATATTTTATCCACAACATAATTCTATTCCTGGAATAAATAAAGCTCACTTTAATTGTGTATAGTTTGTTCATTAAATGTGAACTGAATAACTTCAACGTCTTCTAGTAAAGACTATCTGGCTTCCTCAACTTCCTCTAGCAATATAACAAACACAAACTTTCAATCCAAATCCATACTTTCCATTTCAGAGAGACTGTCTTCATGTGACAACAGCTTCAACACTCACTTAACACAGTCATCCTGATATCTAAGTTCTATTTATTTGTCAACTTGTAGCTGTACATCAGAGATAGAGTATGAAAGATCAGAGTTGTTTCTGGCAGTACAACATCAAATTCAAATCCCTATGCATCTAAGTCCAGTCCACGTTATCGCTCATTGATCAAATGCACTTTTGACGTTCCTACTGGAGAAGTTTCTAGAAATGAAAAAAAAAAAAAATGTTTATAATTATAATCTCAACAAAAACAGATTCAATTCTAAATACATTGCATGCTTTAATCTCAAATCTTTGGAGACGAAATATGACATGATTTACACAATATAATTATTTTTCTTTGTTTTCTGACCCACATTTAAACAACACAGTTATATTAATAGTACTACGCAAACATATTAAAAAACATTACAATATAAATCTTAGGCAATGGTAACTCACCCTCCTCCCCGCCTTCCTCTGCCCATCTCTGTCTTGCCCCCAGTAGAGTATCTGAGTCTATATCCTCTGTTCTAGTGGGATAAGTCACACCATCTCCAAAGCTGGAAAATAAAACAAAGACATGTTGTGTAGAATGCCAGAAGCACTAAACTGTAGATTTTACAACTTCAACTTAGTGATATAATTATCATAACAAATGTACAGTAGCCTTCACATTACAGTAGCCTTCACATGACAGTGGCCTTCACATTACAGTAGCCTTCACATTCATTATATCAATCAAACTGGAAACCAATGTACAAAACACAGCTCTTCAATAAAAACATCTAAATGAAATTTACAACTTCTCCCCCAACTCACAATAAACTTTGCTGTAACCCAGCATGCAGGCAGTACAGTGTATAAGGTGAAACCATCCAGTCAGTGTCAGATATACATTGCAATATGCTATATCCTTCAACCAATGCTGCATCTACAGTTAGCCACTCCAACCACTTGGTATTTATAACAAACATATTACATAATTTTCAGGGTAAAGTCACTGACAAGTCTTGGTATAATAGTTGCGTCTTGTTTATAACCTCCACCAAGGGGGTTACGCTTTTGCCTTTTTTGGAAGGATTCTGTTACAGTTTTCAGAGCAGGTAAGAAATTAGAGATTAGTTGAAATCGATTGGATTTTAGTGGTGATCCATTAATAACTAGTAATAAATTAATCCATTATGAGAACTGAGCTGCCTTGGCTTAGGTCTGCACTCTGAGCTGCCTTGGCGGAGGTCTGCCCTCTCTAAATGCTCTCCTACTTTTAGATTGGTTAATGTTGTCTGCTGGGACACTAATAACTCTGAGTTTTAATATCTGAAAAGCCTTCTATATATCATCCACCTGCTGTGTAATCTCCTAGTGAAGGAGTGAAGCATCACGTGGGTGGGTATGAGAAGGTTATTACTTTTTGCAATATTTTACTTTATTTAATTTTTAAGATCTGTTGTATTGATTAACTAATTAACATTAACATCATTTCTGCCATGAAGCCAACCAATTTTTCTGAAATTAATTAAAAATTAACAATTTTAAGTATATCTAACAAAGCACTGTTTTGGGGAGCTTCCAAATTATTTAGTTCAAACTGACTAAGTAATTATCTTTGGTATCTGGGTGACATTAAACCATCTATTTCTTTGAGTGATTTTTAGATGCTCTTTCATTAATTTTATTAGCCCTGTTTGTACCTCAAGAAAAAAATTCTTACCCTCAACCCAATTCAGTGCTCCATTTATATTCCCAATTGTATAGGTGTACGTGTAAGACTATCTCCAAGTCTATAATATAATTCTAATCTTAACTTTGTAACATCAAACTTTACTCTCTAAAGAATAATTTTAATTTCTGGGTGGGATGTGTACTAATAATTTCTTGCAGTAGAGCATGTAGATATTCCCAACATATGACAACCTGAACATCAGGTGAAGTTCCTGACTGTGTTACTACTACTGAGTAGGCACTTGGGACATGGGGAAATCAATTATGGGGGAATAGGACAAGAGGTCCATTAAAGAAATAGAAAATATGGAGATATTTTGTGAAACTTATCTAATTGAAAATGGTACTTTTATATAGTAATTTTCTCTGACTTATCAATAATAGTACTTTTATATAAAACATCACATGTGAACTGACATGTTATTTTGACTATTATTGACAATATTATCTAAAGGATCAGATATACAGATATATTGACAGCCCTGGAGATTGAGGTAACAAAATATTTCTACACTAAAATCTTAACTACTTCACAATGTCAGGCTAAATTATTAATCTCACCTCACAATCTTCAAACTAGAAAATATTAAAATACTTAAAGCTTTCAAGTATGGCAATTATATATTAGAATTAAAAGATATGTTAATAGAAAGACCCTACTTCACACACACATATCAAACTGGCATGCACTGTAAGAAGCAAAATGAAAAGTTACCCAAACCTTATGACTCAGGCAAGTTGAGCAACACATCTAGAAATCAAAGTAGATCCAATGAGGATTAGTATTCTAAAGAGCACACCAAAACACATAGAAGCCAATGTATTTTTTTTTTTGCTTTTTTTTCTAATTAAGGCTGGGGTTAGAAACAAAAATATCAACCATTTTCCACTTGCAGAAGGTACTAAAATGACTTAAATCCTAGTTTTTATTTTTACCAGTTAAATCTTAAACTGTGCGTTTCCTGGACAGAAATAAAATATACATTGGCTACTATATGCAACAAAGCACACCAAAAAAATAAAAAAAAAAACACTGATTTGACTTCTGACCTTGGGCTTGCCGTG